ATTTAGCTTAGCCAATTAACAAAAGGAGCACATACGCACAAAAAGAATTTACTTTGCATTTGCTCTGATTGATCTCTTTGATTAATGACTCTCTTTAATGCGAGGAGCCATAGACTTTATAATTGTAAGCCGCCGATAGTTAACTTTTCTCTTTTTGCGGAGTATTTCATGGGTGGTCATTCAACTTTGTGTTTGTTATCCAAAAGTCACTTTTTTTTCTTTCGTTACACAAAAATTATTTTACTATGCTCTAGTTATCACAATAATCACTTTGACCAGATTTTACAAACCTTTCACGTGAAAAGCCTGTTATATCCTTGACATTATAAATCCTTATGTAACACCTTTTATATTATATGCTACTTATATAATATACTTTTACCCAGGTATTTTACTTATAATTAAAATAACTTAATATTATTTTTTTGTTATTTTTATAATATATTGGTAAATTTAATTTTTTTCATAATATTAATTTTCAAGATATATAAGTAGCATTATTAAATTTGTCAGTAACACTACTGTGAACAAATCTGAAGTCCGCGTTCTTAATCATGCTTAATGAAATATGTTTAATGAAAATTAAAAAATTAAAACTCATTGATTTATCGGCCAAGCCATACCAATTAATTTAATAAATAAAATACTCACATTTAGCAAAATGACACATCAGATTAATACTTTCAAAAAAAATAATATAGTAACAGATAAAGCTTTAAAAAACTTAATATTAAACACAAATATCTTTAATTTTTTCTTTAAATTGTTTATTGATTATAAAAAATTATCATTTGTTAAACAAATCTGTTTTTATTATTTTAAATAAATATTAAAAAAAAATATTTTTTAATCATTTTTATATTTGTTCATGTTTGAATATGATTAAATAAATTGAGTGTTATGAAAAACTTAAATGTATGGATATATTATAAAAATATAAAGTTATTTTAATTATAAGTAAAATACCTAGGTAAAAATATATTATATAGTATATAATATAGAAGGTATTACATAAATGAGTGGATTAACGCCAAGGACATAATAGACTTTTCAAGTAAAAGTATTATAAAATCTTACCAAGGTGACTTTTGTGATGAATAGAGCAAAGTAAAATAATTTTTATATAACAAAAGAAAGAAAAATGAGTTTTGGGTAATGAACACAAAATTGAATGATTTTTACGTAACAAAAAAAAAGGTAATTTTGCATAATGAACACAAAATTAAATGATCACCCATGAAATTTACTCCTTTTTCGTATGTTGTCTACAAATTTAAATGGGGATCCATTTCAGCCAAAGACTTGATTAGCGTACCTGACAAATTTTTGTGGTGTTATGCTAGAATTAGCTAATCATATGGTCAACGTGGAGGCCAAAATTAACTAGGGACGTCGCCGAGTAGGTGCGACTCATTGCACCAGTATTGTCGCGGCCGACTCCTCCAAAGTGTCAAAAGCACACAAATAGCTTGTGTGGCGCTCGTAGCCCCATCTGACTACAAGCCAGCCTTTTCTTATCCTAGGTTTTCTCGCACGATCTTCTGCCTTTATCGAAGCTTTCCTCGGAGGCTTAGCTTCTCCTGTGCCGCCCGTTTGATGCCAAGGCTTCAACCTTATCTTGTTGATATATTCGTGATGCGCATTTCATAAGTTAGGTCTTGACATTGCGCACACCCAGGGTTTGGCTACGGACATGTCAGTCCTTCGCCTGGCACTGAGCGTCACTCTCGTGCGCACAGTCCAATCCTCAAGCTTGACACTTGCCTGGTTGTGCTTTGTCCGAGTAGGGCAACTTTCAATCCTTTGGTCTTTGTCATGTGCGCCTTTCATAAGATGCCGTTGCTTCTAGCCAAGTCATCGCCTCGCTCAATTAAGCTGCTAACAGAGTTTCTTACTCACTGTCGGATTATCACAATCAAGAATATTGGTGCATCAGATAATGGTACAATCGTGGACCAATCTCACTTAGAGCTATAGCTAACCAAACATGTCTTAATGGAATCCTTCTAAAAACAGCACCAACTGCACGGAAGACATCCCTGATGATAGCACATTCAAAGTAGGATGCCCCAAAACTAACTCCTAAAACAGAGAGGATGGCGGAAACAACGGCTGTGAAATGGCTTGACACTGAAAGTCGTAGTTCATGGCTGACAAAAAAAAAAAGCTACCATAATGTACACAACCAATCCCTTATAACCAGCGGTATCGGGTTCTCTAACTCGAATGGCATGAAGAATATAATTCCTGCTTTGATGTGATATCTGCACTGACATTCCATCGATCGCTAAATTTTAGCCCTCATAAGTTATGACATTCAACCAAAGTTTCATGGCGATCCATTTGCACTACTATCAATCTTACATGGCATCAACTCAGCCATACAATGAGCCTTACATAATGGTTTCATCTCACGTTACAATGCAATTTTTTTCTTTGATACCAACTATCATGGACCGACTCCTCCAAAGTGTCAGCGGAACACAAATAACCCATACGGCGCTCGTAGCCCCACCTGACTACAAGCTATCATTTTTCTTATCCCAGGTTTTCTAGAACGATCTTGTGCCTATGTCGGAGCTTGCCCCAGAGGCTTAGCTTCTCATGTGCAGCTCGTTTGATGCCAAGGCTTTAGCATTGTCTCGTTGACATATTCATGTGGCGCATTTTATAAGCTGGGTCTTGACATTGTGCACACCTGGGTTTGGCTACGGACATTGTCAGTCCCTCACTAGCACTGAGCGTCGCTCTCGCACGCACAGTCAAATCCCCAAGCTTGACATTTGCGTTGTGCCTTGGCACGTGGCTATGCTTTGCCCTAGTAAGGCAACCTTCAATCTTTGGCCTTTGTCATATGCATATGGTTTTCGTATGGCATCGAACGTAGACCTCGCAATATACTTCCATCCCACATAGTGCATGCATAATCGCCCCACAACTATACGTTTAGGCCAACGAACCCTTGCTTTTGCAAGGCTGAACCCAAGCCATGCTCACAAGACGACATACAAGGATCTTAAAAGTGGCGCCTCGAGTGCCCAATCGGCACTGAGGTGTTGTCCTTTCCTACGGTAGCCCGCAGGGTCTAGTCTTTCCATACGGCAAGCCTCTGGCATTAGTTGTGCACCCAACGCTAGCCCTAAGGTGTGGCACTGTCCATAGAGTTCCGTAGCTCGTATGGACACCTTGGAAAATCCTTAGAGATGCCTAGGCAGGCCCTTTAGGTTCCCCCTCAAGGTTTCTCACTTGGTGCGGCTTAGTTGCAACATGCACCGGGGAGGTTGGCTGAGCATTCAACACCTTTGTCCCCCTTATATATGCTTTTAAAAAATGTCCATGCTCCCCAACTTAACATGTTTTGGCCAGAGAACTATAATGGACCTTTCTCTCTACTCCGACACCTCTGAATGAGGCACCGTTTATTCACAATGATTTGTCTTGACTTCCTTCACATGTACATGATGTTTCATTCCATTCCCATATCTTAGGAAAGAGATATAGCCATTGCAAAATTCAGCTAATTACGACAATGCCACTGAACTTGGCTAAGTCAATCCCATAGGTAAATGAACTCCAAAATGACGCCAAACTTGTTGAGCATATATAAGGACATATTAGGAATTAGGCCTACAGCTGAAATACTTATATTCCATCTATAACTCGAAAACCTGCGGTGCTGACATTCATGGCACGCATGCGGCCATTGCCCATAGGGTAGACCCTTGGACTCTTTCCAAGTCCTTGGTATACTTCCTTGGCACTCTTAGGACGTGCAATACAACATATCTAGATTGTCATTGCCTCCCGCAAAGTCCCTTTGCCTTATGCTCCTTATTGAAGCTCATTGTCAGCGCGTGCGAAATGCACAGAGGCTGATCAGGATTACAAGAGGATGGGTGCGTTGTTGTAAAGAGGTGCATCTAGAATTTATATTTGGCGAGTTTAACTTTTGTTTGTTACTGTGAACCCACCAAACTGTTGAAATTATAGGTTCAAAATTATATTCTTCTTAAAATTTGGTAATTTTCACATATGTTTATATTCCATGTCGAAAATAAGACCGTTCTGAGTGGAATTTGAACTGTCAATTTCACTTGTAGATGTGCACCCAATAATAATTACACCATAGGAGTTTTTCAGCATGGGTGCACACACATATTTAAGTAATTTTGAAGAAATATAACATTGTTATACATGGTTTAGGGAAAGGAGTATGGGTTCAGGTGAACTCATATCCCACAAACTGGATATGCCTCTGGGCATGCACGGCTGACACTCGCACAGCCAACTTGGGGCGTGCAGCATTACGGGGGCGAGAGTCAACAAAAGGCAGCCCGTAACAGCATATATGGCTATCACGACATATGCATCATTCAACCTGACTGACTGTTGTAGACTGAGTCAATAGATGAAATCAATGTAGCGTCACGATTGACGCATCATATCCAACCTGATTAACCATGCTGTTAGACAAAGTCAACTACAAGGATTTTGACGCTTCACCATGGCAACAGACTCATAAAATCTAGGGGATATGTACATCTTCATTTGTCAAAGCTATAACTTGGAATTATAGCTGATTCACTGTGGCATGCCTTAGTAGAAGCAACTTGTAGCTGCTAAGAAAGAACTCCCTTTACAGGACTTGGAATAAGCGTATCTTTGTTAGGCGGTTTCCACATATTGACACATGAAACTAAATGCACATGGGCAGGGATCTTTTGGATGACGTAAAAGACATCGACAGATAGCTCGATTATGGAAAAGAGAATTAGTAATGCAAGGATCATTTGTTAGGTCTTCCATTAAATCTTTGATCTGTTAGGTTTATGAAAGAACATTTTAGGATGTTTTTCATTAACTTGACGATGTATTTAAGTTTTTGGTTTAACTTAAACGAAAGTTTTGGCTGAATAAAAACTCTTTTTCAATGGACATAGTTGTTTTTTCAACTAGTATAGTCTCTACCAAAATCTTGTAGACCTCTTTGTCATTGCATGTGTCGCTAATAAAGACAGTGAATATGTATATTAGAAATGGTAGTGGACACATGAATGGAAAGCATTAAACTCTCAAAACTTGATAATCTACAATATCAATCTCAGCAAAAATAATGGAGGGTTCGATATCTAATTCTCTGTACAAATTAGGAAATTGGTGCAACAAGTTAACCGAAACTTCACTCTTCAGAAACTGCTGGTAATCCTTGTTTGAACCAATTATAGAGCCCTCCCTCCAAATGAAATACGTTAGTATAGCCATTGAGAATTAGCAAATATGCAGCAATTAGTGACCTGCACAAGGTGATCAACAAAATTTATATTTCCTTTACAAGATTCAATAAATCAATTTCTTGGTAATTAAAGCAAAAAAGAAAAGAAGAACCTTGACTGTTGGCCCTCGGGAAGATTTTGGGTAGGCTTCATTGTACCCCCGGATGAGCAAGCCACTATTATCTTTGCATCCTTGTTTATTTTAGATTCAACCACTGCTTGAGGATATCAACAATGTTAGTTATTAACTGAATCAATCAGAAAATATGAAGGGATTAAGTAGTAAATTGTACTTTGTATGAATTCGGGGTTCTCTTCAGTTCCAGAAAATATGCCAAAAAAGGCAAAAGCAACCCGTCTAGCAATGTCCCATGCTGTCCATTCCTTTATTAGCCTGTATATCTGGACATTAATAGCTCCTTCTGGATGAGCCTGCATTCATTAAATCTTACTATATTGAATCTCTCTTCATATAATTCCTCTATCAAAACACTGACTGACTGACTCACCTCTTTGAATTCCGCCTCTGGTCGTACGTCAAGAATCACAAAATTGTTCTCTTGCTGAAGTCTGAGCGCTTCCTTTGGCTCTACACTCCTCACCTGAAATTATTATGCCTTGTTACAACAACTACTACTACCACACTTCAATCCCATGCATTTGTATGATGATGGATATGAGTTGACGAGCCAGATTTGAAGCTAATGGGTTTGAGATTCTAGTCTTTTTAAGTTGTAAGGTTCTAAGTTTATAATTTGTACATTTCAATGGATTTCTTTAGACAAATATAGAGTTTAGACCAAAGCAACTGGTTACGGTCGGACCCGTAACCAGTATGCTAGCTTCGCCCCTGCAAGTTGAGCTTAAATGAAGAAGTAAGGATTCATATAGCCAACCTAAGCTTGTTTCGGACTTAAGCCCTTAAGCATAGTTGTTGTTGATGTTATATCCTCTAAAATATAGCTGCAGGGAAACTGATAGACGATAAACTATATTTACTTATTGAATACATAAAAATAAAAATAAAAAGATATTCGATTATTAGTTGTATTCTTCAAGCAACGAAGTAAATGGAAGCTTATTAGTGCATGGTGAAATTAAGGAACTGAGTTACTGGAATCAGAAAATTTGAGTTATATTTCTTAAGTTGTAATCAAAAGCTCCTCCATAGGGCTAACAACTTAGCGGTAAGGTACATTGTTTTACGTTACATTGTTATTCTATGTTTTCTTATTTTGAGAAGAGGAGCTCTGCCTCTCTTTAGGGAAGCATTTTCTGCATAGAACTAGGATAAAGGTCATATCGATCAATTCTTGAGAAACATCGATTTTATGAGCCAATGACAAAACAAGCGCATATATGGTTGTGTTGTGTTAATATAATTTTGGTTTCTCAATTTCTATTATGCATTAATTGGTGATCACGACTTGTGTTGAAGATAGACAGAAAGAGAGAGATTATTTTACCCTTTTTTCAAGCAGATATGCCCGTTTAGTTGACCACTCTTCTTCAGCTATTTGATCCAATAACAAAGTAGTTAGAGATTAACTTGGAACACTAATTAGCAATATATTAAAGAGAGAAGGGTGGGGTTGGTTGGGTACCTGGTGATTTTGCAGGTTTGGTTGCTGCATTTCTGATTCTGAGGGTCGAGGGGTAGTAGCTCAGCCTCAATGAAAATCTTCTGCTTACTGTTGTAGCTAAGCCATATGTCACAGATTCTTTGGTACTTGAATAACAACTACTAGTAATAGAATGAAATCGGTGCTGTAGAGATGAGCCTGCGCTAACTGAAGTTACAGCAGCCATATATCTCCACAACAATGTGTTTGATAGAAATTTGGACCTTCTAATTAAAGACTGAATAATGAAAACTTGATGTGTCTGCTTTCTCTTTTGTCTTGAAATGGAAATATCTAGAGATGTGGATATTTTAGGCAATCTCAGTTTGTGGTGCTAGTGATGCTATTTGGATTTCATTGTGTCCATGTCATCTTCCTTTTTTCCCTACAAGTAAGGATTTATATAAGCCACTCTCCGTTTACGGTACATGCAAAATTACCTCCTTTTTTTCTTTTTTTCCTTTTACCACTCAATCTCATGAATTAACATTATTTTACGCGTAACTCGAATGTCAACCTTGAATGGATCAAAATCTGACCAGACAAAAATCGGCGTGGGAAGGGACGGTGAAAAGTTACTTGGGACTGTCGTATCCACACCACGCTGTAATGACACGCACCTCGGCCACGTTCGAGGTTATGTATTCAGAACGCTTGAGAGGCGAATTGGATATTACGGCATTTCAAGGGGTCAGCCCACAATATAGTCAAACGACTTAAGTACTATGGTTAATGACCGTTGGGTAAAGGAGAAGACCTAGTATATAAACTAAGTGAGAAGAAGAAGAAAGGGGGCAGGAGCAAATCCAGACATAGACATGTTTCCTGAAAGGAGGAGAAATCTTCATCTCTCTCTCTCCACCACTGTATACGGTGAAATCGGGGGAACCAAATTCTCGTTAATAAGGCGTCTCGGAAGATCACCTCGAAGGCTCGAGACCACAGACCGA